GGGGAGTCCTCTTATGGGGAGTCCTCTTATGGGGAGTCCTCTTATAGGGAGTCCTCTTATAGGGAGTCTCCCCAGGTCTCCCTCAATTCCAGCACAGCTGATGATGCATCAGAGAGACTCCCTGGACCAGTGTTTCCCAATCCAGTCCTTGGGCACCCACAGTCAGTCTATGTTCTCGCTTTCGCTTCCTGGGAGGGTGTCTGCAGGTTCCCCGAGGACCAGACTGGGAAAACCTGCCCTAGACTCTGATCTTCCAAGGCTGATACCTGGTGGCCATCTCAAAGCGGTCGTTGATGGTGCTGACCCTCCAGCCAGTGGCTCCAGTCCTCTCCAGCTCACCGTCCCAGTCGGCAGCGCAGTCAAACAGCTTCATCTGGCCATCCGGCCTCCGGTTGCTGAGGAACTGTCTCATCTCTGTGTGTCAAGCATAGGCAGAATGTCCCAAGGCCTCGAGTCACACAAGCAAGGTCACTTAATCCATCCACGTCAAGCTGATGCAGATAACAAGCATGATTTCAACTATTCTCCTGTTGTTATTTCCCTGAAGTGAAGCACAGGGTTAAACAAAGGCCAGAGCAACACATCACCATGGTAATTATACTGATTTAACAACCCCCACTTATGGCAAGTTTTAACAGGGTAGTTTTTTTTCTAATAAGCAAATGAGAGCAGTGTTCCCACATGAAAAGATAAAGCATTCTTTAATTGTTTCAAATGAGCAATTAGTGGGCGGATCAAATCTCTTAAAACACAACTTAAGGCCCAGGAATCACTTGTTGTGTGTAATTACGGGAGGCCTGCCCTCACCCACACTCCCCAGCGCGGCGTTTTGGAAGGAGAGGATGGATCCAGGCTTCAGGGGCTGGTAGGTTTTGGCGATGGCGTAGGTGATCTGCGGTGAAATGACCGAGCGGCCTCAGTATAGTACAAGATGTCTACAGCAGATAGTGGAAAGCTGGGCTCTGGGCTCCTGCTTCAGCCAAGACCCAAATGGTTACGGATTTGTGGGTTTAATCTACGACAGGAGAGAGCAGACCATCGCTCACCTCCACGGCCTGAGTTTCGGGGGTCAGCCGGTCAAACAGGAAGCAGAGGACGCGGAGGTCGCGGCAGTACAGGACCAGCTCCTCAGGGGTGAACTTCAGGGAGGAATTGGCCGTCACAAGCTTCGTGCGAGATGGTCCCACTGCAGCGAGCGAAATTGAGGCAGCCGTCATGGATAAATGAACTGAGCGGGTCAGTCGAGCGACTCTAAGAGCTTAATGGGCATGGGCTTACCAGCCACCACCTTCTCGATAGAGGCGAGGGCCACGTCGTGATCCCCGAGGAGCACTGGGTCTGCATTGTCCTGAAGATGGAGACTGGACTTTAGAGGCATCCAAGGAAAAGCGTTATACTGTGACCTCTACCTGCTCATCCAAGTAGAGATTCCTCACATACATACTCTGGATCAAGACCTGTTAATCTCCCAACTGCTTATCCACTACATGGTCAGGATGAGTTTGGATGAGCAGGGCATGAAGCAGGAGAGATCCTGGGTGGGACGCCAGTCCAACACAGGCACGGACATACACTCAGACAATATGGACATTTTAGAGCCACTGATTCACCTAATCGCATGTATCCAGACACAAATGGCTAGGATTAGAACCCACAACCTTGTGGGTATAAGGCTACAGTGATTTCCACTACTCCTCTCTGCCACCCACTTGATTACACCTGAGTGCTTTTAGCATAGGCCATTGCTGCCTCACCTTCCGAGCACAGCATGGACTGGATAGTGTCTGTATTGGTCAAATATAACAGGCCTGCTAGCAAGGAACAGTCTTATCTTGACTGACTGCTCAGGGCTTGAAAGTAGTTCTGCTAGTATCTGTTGCCGAGCAACACTGTCGCCATGCAACCAGTGTCACAAATTCCACTGAGTAACCAACGGTCCATTCCTTTCCTGCCTCTTCCCTATCATGTAAAAGCATTCACGGTTCACTAACAGGTACAGCAAGAAACATTTATACCCTGTTTTACACTGAAAGCAGGGTCCCCTTGTTATGATGTGAGAAGATCAGAGGTTTATAGCCCATGTGTTGATTGAGCTTCTGTTTCTGATGTGTAGGATGGTTTTTAAGGAGAAAACAGCATAATAAGCTATGCAAACAAATCCTTATATGACTGGACTCCATATTACCACCCTGTGTTACAAAATAGCAAAACAGCCACTGAAGCAGCACTTGTAGACTAGGAGACATCTTATAATATACCCATACTTTTCAGTGTCATACAGGTCAAGTCAATGACAGCTGAGAGTTAAAAAAATTATCAGTGCCGAGTGTCTTGTCACTCCTGCCCCCCTGCCTTCAGACGTTACTCAAGTAACCCTATGCAGGTTGTCATGACGACACTCCGCAGCAGATGCCAGTCCAAAACCTTACGTCTGGTTTCTCGCTGTCCTGGGGCACGAAGGCGACTCTGAAGTGGGTGCAGAAGAGGGTTCCAGCCAGCCAGCCACCTCCTTCCACACCAGACAGCTTCTTCCTCACCAACACTGCCCTCTGGAGGACACACTCGCCTGGGGGGGGGAGGGGGGGGGCGGAGGGCAGGGACAAAATAATCTGTCAGGGTTTTATAGTTTGCGTTATATTTCAAGTATTTTAATGACAGAGGTCCACAGAAAAAAAACTGCAAAGGTATATTTTGGATAAAGAATCAAATGAGGTCTTGCCATCCTGTATATTCAAAATTTCCAATTTTCCTTAACATTTCTGCCCAAAAATAACAATCAAATGTCTAATTTTGTCATAGTATGTGCAATGAATGTAACAGTCAAAGCTGGAAGTTCAATATTAAACTTGTTTTAAATATTTACTTTCACGGTACCCAGAACTTTTTGTTTCTTCACTGTAACTGCGTCGACACAATATTTTTTTGAGATGAACCAAGAATGTTTCGGAGAACAACATTTTGAAAAACAATGGCACATGCAACAGTTACAATGTGACGTCAACATGATTCACTTCAAATGTATTTTCTTTGCCACCCTTCACCCTAAAAACAAATGAAGGAATAAAACATTTTACAGCCAGCAATAATGTAATAAATCTGTTTACATACAGAAAACACCATAAATTTCTTTAGCAGATGCCCTGCCTGCTGCATGTTTGTAATGGTCTCCAGCTACAAAACAAAGGCTTTGCCAGTGAGGGTTGGTTTCCATGGCGACGTCGTCCAGTGCGGCACAGATTTCAAGAAATGCCTTTTTACGCCTGCAAAGGCCATTGTAAGACTGTCCAGAAAAAGGCACGCCCACAGAAAAATATGCTTTCCACATGAAGCATTTACTGAAGTGCTATGAATTCCTTCAAAATCGAATGATGGGAACGGCACCTGGTGGTCATTTGCGACAGTATGATTCCTTATCGTGTCTGGTTTCCATTTTTGAGCTACTATTTTTTTGATGGCTACTGCATTAAACTACTGGAGTTTTTTTTTGGTAAAATGTGGGCCTTTCAGTGTTAATATATAGTTAATATGTTATCTAGGAACATTCAGGAAATAAGCTTAGCAAAGGATAATATGCACACACTTCAGATTCAGGAATCAAAGTCTACACAACAGACATGCTGTCCTTGTAGAAAACTACCAGCCACTGTAGCTGTAAAATATTTAAAGGGGTAATGCCTTGCTCATTCTCTGATAAGCAGGCTAATAGAGAAGACTGATGTATTTCACAGACAAACCCACAGCCTTTGGCTATGTGAAGAGTGACCCCTACTGTATGGGCATAGGTATGTCATCAGAAATTATTCCCTCCTAGGCTGACCGGTAACACTTTACTTTATGGGGCACAAATACTTACTAATAACTCAGTTACTACTGAAGCACAAATTATGAACAAATCGTGAACAAATATAGTTGCTACTTGAGATAAAAGATGCATCGCAATTCATTAATGATGAACAAACAGTATTTCTCTTGTGTTATTCATTACTTGTTCAGTAGTTCCTTAGAGATTCCTTCAGTAGTTCTTTCAGTAGTTCACAAACATTTACATAATTAACAGATATAGTAATAAATATAGCAAGTGCGTGATAAAACATATGTCATGATTCATTAATGATGAATTATCATGAGATCAGTATGTAACTACGACTATTTATTGGATAATTAATACATGAGTAATAGTATAATATGCTGATCCAGATCCAGTGGCATCACATAAGTCATTTAAGAAATGACAATACTGGCACTAACCAGAATATCAGGCCCGGCTGAATTCCCAGCGACACACCTGTCACTGTTTCATACAGCAAAGCAGTTTCACCAGACAGACCATCTCCACTTACTAGAAGAAAGGACCTTCTTCCCAGAAAGGAGTACAGGAATGCGGCCGTGCAACCAAGGGCATCACAACACGCCACCCGCGGAGTTACCGTGCCAACCCTCCCAATTATACTCAACAAGGCTTAAAGTGACAGCAATCAAAAGCATGGTTGTGGCCTCTGATTCATCGCACGCTTCCTAATTCCCCAGGGCAAACACCCTTTTAATTTCATTAACCTTGACAATTTAGGGCTGATTTGCTTTTCCTGCTTTGCCCCCCCCCCCACCGATGTTATATATCGAGGTTTGGTCGAGAATTCATCTGCCACGTTTTCTGAAAGAATGTACAAATATGACAAATGTCTTGGATTATTACTGCTGGGCAAACCCTCTCTGTCAGCGCAGAGCTGCGCAGACCCATGCAGTCCTGCCTGCGTCATGTTTGTAAGCGATGCGGCGTGGTCACAGCACTCTGAGGCTGATATTAAAAAAGCATATATCTTAAGCTCCCTATGTGAATTATTAAATGAGTAAAAATGTGAGCTCTAACCCGGCCGGGCTGAAGCTCCTTTCGAGTGCCTTGAAAAGATAGCATTTCAAATCCCTTTCCCATTTTTAATAGGCTTGAGCGTAATGCGGCTTTGAAAAACACGGGTGTGGTCGTGGCTGAGAGGGGCGTTGTGTGGAGCGATTACAGAGTCGGGGGGCAGCGGGGCACACGGCAGATGAGAAAGATGAACTGGCAAACATTAAAGGGAAAAATGAAAAAAATAGAGAGATAAATTACTGGAGGTGAAGAGAACAGAAGTATTAGAGGAGGAGGAGTAAAAATGAGAGGCAGGCAGGGAGGGGGGCCAGCCACTCGGCGCACGCATGGGAAGGCCCCGCGCAGGCAAGTCAACTCTCCAAACGCATTAAACGTTAAAGATTAGCCCAGCCGCAGCGATCCCCGCAGCCTGCCAACATTCCTCACTCAAGCTCCTGGAACAGGAGAGCGCTGACAGCGAGATTACGACTCGGGCTGGGCGGGGGGCTGGTTGGGGGCCCGCCAAACTCCCAAGCAGAACACTGAGGAATTGTTCTCCGGCAGCCAGACTGGGCTGTGGGGAGGGGGGGCGCTCCAACCACAATGCACCCTACCATGCACACAGCCGAAAGCGTGGCCCCATGGGATCGGCAGGGGGGGGGACTTTTTATCCGGTCATTATGCACGGGATTGTCACTCTCCCCGCTCATTTCCTCACAAGTTGTCCAGTGCCGGCAGGAAGTCAACAAGCACAGCTATAATTATGCAGGGCTTTTTGTGACGGTGCTCAGTAAGCCGCAATAAATTAAATGCGATGGGGTGACACAGGTAGGGAGCAGAGTGCGACGTCACAGCATACAGCGGCCGCATGCAGCTGCGTGGGAGCATACTGACTGCGAAGGCGGCGGTACTGACCTGGCAGACATCGCAGGCCGAACTTGTCCCTGCACTTCCCGTGTAGCATGCTGTAGTTCAGCATCTTCTCCTGTGGAGAGAGGGACACAAATGTCAGCAGCATGCTGAGCCATGGCGGGGACACACACACACACGCACACACACACAGACGCGCACACACACACACACACACGTCGGGTAAACATATCTTTTTGAGGAACGCTCATTCATTTCTATGGGAAAATTGCTAATGCTAACTATGCCAACCTTAACCCCTATCCAGCCCTAACCATAACCATAAGTAACCAAACAAAATACAAGAGTTTTTGCATCAGAGACATTCCTTATCATGTCTAGTTTTTGAGCTACTATCCTTATTTTGAAAACTGCATCAAATTACTGGATTTTTCTGTTAAATCGTAGGACTTCCAGGGTTCATATGCAGTTAATGTGTTATCTAGAAACAAACATGGCAAGGAGAAGCTGACTCGGCAAAGACTGAAACGCACACGTCTCAGATTCAGGAAAGAGCTCTGGGGCTGTGAAAGAAACACATCAAGCACATGTCCAGGGTGGCTCTGAGACCAAATCGGGCCTAGTAGAATTAAATCCAAAATGCTCAAAAAATATTAGTTTCTGATTCTGTCTCAGTTTATTGGTTTCCAAATGCTTATAGCTGCATATACCCATAAACTAGCCTGAGGGAGCCAAGGTCAGAGGTCATCAGCTCCACTCATTTCAACAAGGACTAGGGATCACACTGAATTACTCTGAACCACCTGCAAGAGCAGGCGCTGTGTCATCAAGAGCGCCGTGCATCTCCGAGCCTGTGCAGCCCACCCCCAGGAGGCGCTAGCGTGCAGTCAGCACTTATCGGCCCCAGCAAAGCTCTCCCCCAGAGAATGTCACGTATACATTGGCATTATGAAATTCCTAATTAGCTGACTTACTTAGAGGATTCTGGGATTGTATCACTTAGCTAATCCTGACCACTTTTGTGTTAAAGATGACCGACATCCAGAAAACGAAAATAAATTTCTGAGGAAAACGATATAAATTCCCACCCGATCATTTTTTCCCAGTTGGCTCTAAGTGCCCATTACCCCGGAGATCCCAGCCTGACTGGCTCAAAACGATTTTCTTGTTTTTGTTTTGGTTTGACTTTCTACTGTTTGGCAGTTGAGAGCAGTTATGAAAACCCACCCGTTTCGTTTACTGGCACTATCATCCAGGGCCGCAGGAGCTATTTCCAGACCATGAACTCACACATGTGGAGCCACTTAGGAACACCCCCCCCCTCCCACCCCCACACGATTCCTCCACAGAGGGAGGACACAGGCCGTTTCGAGATGCTGTTTGTTTATTTGACAGATGCTTCTGTACGCTGTGACTCACCCGGTGCCCGTTACTATACCCAGACGCATGACCTATTTACGTGGGCATAACATTCACGGAAGAGATCCGGGTTAAATCCTTGCCGAAGTCTACTGACTCTCTGGGGACTTCATCTACAATCTAGAGAGCTAGTTAACCCCTTCAGTACCCAATAGGATCAGCACGCCACAAACCGAAATATTCATCAAAGGGCGTGAGACAATGAGTTTTGCTCATTCTTTATCCATTGCGTTAGCGACACATTTTTAATGTTGTTGACAAACTGGCACTTGGAATTTTCACAACTAAGTGAAAAGTCACACAGCACCGGGGGTTCCATTAAAAAAGTAATTTATAGATAGATAGATAGATAGATAGATAGATAGATAGATAGATAGATAGATAGATAGATAGATAGTGAGTAGAGTCAGCAGATCGTAACTAGATAGTTATTTAGCAGAATATGCTGCTTCAGGATGTGTTTATTAATACCTAGTGTAGTGACTGTGTGTGGCCAATGGAGGAGGCCACACAAACCTCAGGGACCCCATACACATGCATGGTTTGAGTGGTGGTGAACACTGACAATGCATAAAAGACTTAAAACAGCAAGGAAACGTGTTCTTTTCAGTCTGAATGCAAGGATGTTAGCGGCTTTGACTTAATTAGTAAAAACAGTAAGTAACACAGGCTACTCGTTAAGTGTAAATGGGAAATCTAGCTGCTCCCTGAACGCAATCTGTCCCCCAGCTGGTCTAAAGAGTACAGTGCAAAGTCCCTTCTGAAGAAAAGCACCCAAAGAGTCTCAAGTGGAAAGGAATGACATTCCTTTGTTGTTTCTCAGACTGGATTCTTCAGCTCTGTGCACCATATTTGGCCGACGGCTTCCCCAGACGGCTTAAGAGATGCGTGCGGATTTCAGGGCCTTAGCTTGCAGAGCTGGCACAAATAGTCGCAGACTGTCCTCTGGTGTCTTTAAAAGACCCGAAATGGGCCCAGAGTGAGGAACTCACGGAGAAGAGTGCAAAATCTGTTTTTGCCATTTCGCGGCCGTAAATCACCCCATTATTTCCTCTCTGCCGTGCTCCGGCACGTTAGTGGTGTTCAGATGAAATCTCAGCGAATTAACACAGTCACCCCATGGAAAGCTCACTGTGCAGATAAGGAATCCAGGTGTTTAAAAAAAAAAGTGAGCTATATGGTCATTCTGGTGCTTCAAAATTCAGTAGCGTCAGCATTTAGATGCAGAAGCAGGTCTAAAAATCTATACCCAACTTCCACCTGGCCTGCTTCTCTTTAGTTATATAATCGGCTCTCTTGCAGGCACATTGCTACGCCATAATCACTTCCAGACAAAAACACACATGTACATACACACACACACACACACACAATGAAGGTCTAAGAATCAAGAGTCTAGAAGAATGTATTCTATACAGTCAATTGATAAGAAACACATACCTCAGTTCATCTGAATGTGCAGGGCACATCCGCCAAGACATAATAACGGCCACTGACAGAGCACACAAATGAAAAGATGAATAACTTGCTGCAAATGTTATCAGTAAAAGATACTAAATATGAAAGTTTTTGGCTAACTGAACCGGCAATGTTATGTCAAGTATTACTACTGTCTCTGTATGACTGCTTAATGGTGTGACCACGCTATCAAATCCACACCCATTTGGAAGTTAACACAATTAAATAATTACAGCTTCAAATCTGATTTGACAACCTAATAGTTTTACTGTTATATAATGTTATAAACTATTGATTTGTGTTGGAGGTGATGATAGCTGATAGATGTAATGGTAATTTAGCAGGCAAGTGGTAACTACATAAACAGAATTATTTTCAGGTTGAACTTACTTTTTTCATTTGAAGTAACATTTGATTTTTGCAAATAATGAAAAACTGACCCTTTTCAATCACCCCTCATACTAATTTTGAGGTTCACTTAGCCTGGTTATACATCTATAGTTATCTGCTAAGCCTAGCTAATTGTGGCCAAACTGGGAAGCAATATCAGAGACATCACAAAAGTCTGCCCTTGGTTACTGGATAAATCAATAACGTTCCCAAGTCAAAATGAAGTGTGACCTGAACCACTAAAACAGGATAATACTCATTCCACAGTCTGACTTTAACTGGAAGCCAAGCAAAGTGCTAGGATTACTACAGGATTAAGGCAGGGTTGCTGTACTGCACCATTTATTGCTCTGCCCTGGGCAGCAGATGAAAGAAATACATGAGGGAAAAAACAAGCCCTTCTCAAATATTTTACAGCCAGCGCCACTGTAAAACTTTACAGCGTGTTTGGTTACTCCTTGAAGCTGGTTAATATTTTAAGTAATTCTTTCCATGTTTCAAGGGAGCAGATTTTGGTGTGTTTATTTATCCTCCACTTCTGGTGATTCTGGCAATGAAAAGAATGACAAATTCCTGGACGGACTTAAAGCAGATGCCTTGTTTTCTACACTACCCTGTCGTTTTCTGCGAGTCTCACGGCAGATTGCATATACAGTATTCATAAGTGAAGCGGTTAGGTAATGAAAAATTGTCTTTACTTTTGTGATCTTTCAGGTCTCTTGTATCACGTGCCGTGTCATCGGGATTTCCCAAGTAATGATAGAAAAATATCCCCCTTTCCTGGCGATTTGTGCAGTTCCATTCTCTTGGTAAAACGCGTTATTTAAACTGCAGGATTTTTCCCCTATTCCGCTCGGACTGTTCCACATTAACGCTAACTAGAAAACAACGGAAAGTGGGATTTTTAATCAGAAGCACAATCATCCCATTGAGATATACCACTGAGTTAATGAGACGAGACGTTTACGGGGACCGTCCAGGGGTTTCTGATCAAAGAGTGGAAAAGCAACGGAATGGGTACGGAGGACGAGCCAGGGATGGGGTAAGGGGAGCCGGGCTGAGGCTGAGTGCTATAACACGGTGTAAGTCTGGGAGACGAAACGGATTAAAAAGCGAGAGCCTTGTTTGAGAGACATCGAGCCAAATTAGGCCAGAAGCACTTTTCTGGACGAGATGGGCTCAGAAACGTTTCTTTTTTCCATTGCACGTGGTTGCCATCGACCAGACTGCGCAGCGATCTCTGCAACGAAACCGCACTGCCCTCCCCATGCCAAAAAATATAGCGGATCTCACGACAGAGGAATGAAACGTAACCGAAAGGCAGCAGAGCATCACCATTGCATGCAAAACAGGCCGACTTGCCACTGCGGAAAACGCGTTAATTATTAGAAAGAGTAAATAAAAACACGCCTGACGCAGATTTAATTCGTGGTTATTTCCTAACGGTCTTTGTTTTCCGTCGACTTCGCCCATTTGAAGTCCTCATAGTTAAATTAAAATGTAAACCAAAAAATGAGCTCTGCGTGCTTTCAAATGCTCTCCCCGAGCCCCAAATGCACGGCCTATAATACTCACATTATCCTCAGAAAAAAATCCCTATCCGACATCAAACCCCATTCATGTTCTGCTACTACATTAACTTTCATATTTCTTACCATTCAGACTTAACTGCTTTTTCACTCTTTAACGCAAATGACCATGAGAGCCAAGATAAACAGAATAGTTAAAACGTATGCTTATAAAATACAGCATATTGAAAGCAATTAAATATAAATATATGGATATAAAGGAGCTGTGGCGCTCTTTCTCTTGCTTTATTTACAAAGCAAATGCCGCGGGTTTCCCAGACGCACCTCCATCTTCATCTCTTTCAGCAAACGAGAGCCGAGGGCGACGAAAACGGGAACATCTGAATGTTTAATGTGAAAATGAGACTCTAGTACATAAGGAACATCAGCACCCATCGTAGTGCAAGCACCGATGGGGAAATCCCGGCTCCTTTCATAACTAGCAGGAAAAATCCACGGTTGTTTTCCTGTGCTGTTACATACGTTATCACCGCATCGTAAATTACCCAAACCGGTTACAATTATCTAACAGTTTAGGATATGAAAACACTGTTTACGCGCTTCTTCATTTAAAACTGGCCTCGTAAACGCAATGAAAGGGGTTTTCCTATTTGAATACGTCAGATGTTTCTAGAATAAGGTGTAGCTCTAAACTGAAGTTCTTATAATTTAACAATAGTATATTATAATAGTCAAGTGTTTCTTACTTAAATTCCAAGTATTCATACATTAATCTATGTTTTAAGAAATGCATCTTGAGATGACACTGGGAGCACATTGTCTAATGTAAAAACATGCATGGGAGCAACAAAAAAAAAAGTAGTATGGCACTTAACGAAAGGCGAATAAAATAGAAGGGTGTGTATCCTTTAATGCACGTTAATGACAGATAAACACAAAGTGCTGACAGAGAGAAAACGCTGCTACTACCGCCGGTGGAAGAGCCACGTTATTCCCGATTAAATCTAAACCATGAGTAAAGCAGACGTCTGCGCAGGGGACAGGGCTGCGGTCAGGAGTTTATAAACCCATCTCACTCCAGCGTTTCACTTTCCTAGCTGCTGACATGAGTAACCTACTATGACATACCAGTCTGGGATGCCAAAAAAGAAACAGGATCGACGGTGAAGGCTTCGGGACAATCCGCCGGGGAAGCATTAGACGGCATCGTGCATTGCGCAGTAAGTGTATGCAATGCATATACCTGCCCAATGATGCACAGATGGAAACGTGCTGGGATGACTCTCTCTGCGGCGGCCCGTGAAAGTGGCTTTAATCAGGCTAAGGCGGTAGTCTTGTTGCGAACGGCCGACGGATGAAATGTTAACTGTCAGGTAAACAGACCACTGAACTTTCAGGTCAAAATGAACCGGCGGTCAACTGAAGAGAGAGTCCAGAGGGCAAAAGGCAGGCTGTTCACTGCCCTTAGGCAAATCCCGTCATGCTTTCCAACTGAAATATGTCAGAAGTACCTAGAGATCTTTCTGTGTTACCAGGATCGCATGATGTACTGGTCTGCAGTGACAAGATTCTAATATCACGGATTTAAAATGTAATCTTTCTTAATTCACACTAAACTTAGTGTAACAAAGTATTACCTTAATATTAACTTGAAAGGAAGAGGGTCACACATACACACGCTGCGATGTCCTTATAAGCATTATAATTATGTCAGAACTATGATTTAGCTGTTTTAGCTAAGTTTGGAGAATGAAATATACAAAATATAGCATTACATCACAACACTGAATCAAAGCAGTGATTTATACAGAATAAAGCAGGAAATCTTTTATTTTAGTAGTTGCACTTGATTGTTTCTTTTAAGATCTCTATGTGCCAAAGCAGTTACAGCTGTAAAAGTACAGCGGAGGAAAAACATTATCAGAGATGGCAGCTGCTCTAACTCAGATGTAACTTATGAGTTTCTGGACCTTGTGGGACAGGGTGTGACCGTGACGTTTGTATTGCCATTCAGCAACTGTTTATCTTTCTGGTCCATCAGCGACCCAAGGGAAGGAACAAAGCATTACCCTCACATTTAAATAACCACCACCATATCCCTTTTGAAATACCCATAATGCATCAGATGTACGCACTCCGTTCTGTCGTTAAACAGCAGGGAAATTGTGTAGAAGCTGTAGAATTTCACCATGCTCAAAAGAGAAGTGTGATTTGACACTGGGAAGCTCAATCCCAGACTTTTTAATGAGGGGGGGGGGGGGGTTGACTTCCTCCCAAAACAAGTTCACACTTTTCTAAAAGGAACATTGGAGAACTGCATCAACATAATTTTATCCAGAGCCTCACTACAATCCTGCCTGCATTCTCGACACCGCAGTGTGCATCTCTCACGTACACGGCCATTACAGAAATGTTTCTTTGCAGCTTTGTAATCTGAATAAACATGAAAGTGTGGCTTTGGATCTGAAACCCCTATACTTAGTGCTCACATTACTAAGACATGCACTGCAATGGGAAGCTATGAACATTTGCTTGTTTTTCTCTGGCATGGTAATAACTACTACATATATTATTTGTGACTTTGCCCAGTTGAATCCTGAACAGGGGCTATTAGAGCATAATGTAACATATCTACGAAAGTCTAAAAACAAAACAATCCCCATTATTCAGATATTTCAAAAGAGTTTTTTTTTTTTATTGTTACGTGAGGAATGCTATTTTTCATGTTGTCATTTTGTTAGTGACTTAACATTTATTCCCAGTACACACATATATTCCACTGGAACAATTCAGCTAAGTAACTTATTCAAAGGTACATTATCAGAGAGCACAGGAGAGTCAACTGTCAGGTTTAGGAAGGTAAGCGTGGTTTCAGTTTCGTCTTGCCCTCAGCACGCACCCCCCTAAGCTTTATTTTTGTTGTCTAAGGTGGTGTCCATGGCAACCGGATGTGGCATCCAACACATATACCCCACATAGTAGCACTGTGTGACAGAACAGACACCTGCTATCACCTCTTACTCTTATAAAAACAACATCCATGCAGGCATAACAAACAGTGTGCACCATACTCTGCCCATAGCGTAAAACCCCAGTTGCCAATCAGATTAGCTCCCTATTGTGGGACAGCTAGAACTGTTTATGACTCACCACAGTGAACCATACATTTCCTATCACTCAGAGCATAGTCAGCTATTATAACTCATCAGACTATGCAGCCAAACTGCCAGTAACCAATCAGGCAAAAGAGCAAGAAGTTTGCAGACTGGGTCCCTAGCAAACGTGTACCAAAAATTATCCTCGATGAAGCTGCACTTTCATAAAAGTGGAGGAACTCTGACATTGCCCACATAAATGCAGAGAGTGGAGCTGACAGCATGTTTAAATGCCGGTTATGCTATGCTACAGCTGTATATTTATGCAGGATGTTTCATTATTTATTCCAAAGTTCCTTTTTTATCCACGCCACATGCATACACATGTAATTATATGGTACAATAAGGATGCTGTTTAATTGGCCCACCATGTGTTTAAAATAAACACATCAATTGGCACCCCAAACTAGTAATTTAACTAGAAGTACCACGTGGGCCTAATAACTGTAAATATATTTTCACTAGGGTGAATTTTGTGAAAATGGGACACCTAGCAAAATGGGACAGTTAAACTTTGAAGTTAATATATGTGTTTAGTAATACTTTAGTATCCCTTCTATATAGTGTTCGAGGGGCATTAATGTATTTAGAATGGTATCAAGTTGCGATTCAAGACATTGAAATGGTTTTTCCACAAAGCAATTTTTCAGAAAGTGTCCCATTTTAACAATACTCGCCCTATTCCACAAGAACCTAAATTTAAAACTGTAAATCGACATAGCACAAATGATTCATTTAATTGAACTTAGTACCACCTGTTCAGTTTTCCAGATGGAATTTTACAATGAACCATATCCAGAGGTGTAGCTAGAAATTCCAGGACCCCTGCCAATTCCCTGCCCCCCCCTTACATTAGGCCCTATATAATTTTACAATTTTTCATATTCAAGGGTTCCTGCAAAGTGGTGGAAACCCCTGAATCTGCCAAGCTATCCATGCCCCTGCTGTGTCCCTGAGCCAGTCTTTAAGTAACTAAAACGTAGGGCAGACGAAACTAAGCCAAAGTGCAAGATCATCTCTAAAAAATATCAATGAATTTACCCACCTTCATATCGGGGACAATCTGCCTCACTTTGAACGTCGTCTTGGACCCCATTAACATTTTGAAGTCTCCTGTTGTAGATCTTTGAGTCGAAAAATCACCAAACTGATCATTAAAGTCAAGTTAAAAGCCGACGTGTCCGCGGAGACGTCCGTAGGACGCGGTTTCCAGTGGCTTGCTTTACTAGAGAGCAATATAAGCGGTTCATGGCGTTTCACATGGTCGGACACGGACCCTCCGCATCTCGGCTTATGTTATCAATAACCCGGGCAGCTCCTTTCACTTGTGCGCCACACGCAAAAGGCACCGATCCCTGCCCCTCATCGCCCTCGTAGTAAAATCCCGAAACCGGACCTATTAGCCATCAAAAGCCAGTCGCGAAAGGAAAATGGGTGCCACTTTGGTTTTAATGGTAACAGGGAAATAAGCGATGCACATTCACAGCCGTCTCCCAACTTCGCTGGTTACCATCTCGCCATTGCGAAAAATGACACTGGTCCTACCCACTGTGAAGCACGCAGTCCCAGCTACCACTCTTAAAGGGCCAGTGCCACAAAGTAAAAGATGCCGTTGAATTGTTATGCATTAATGCCATATTCATGCATCTTTCAATGTTACTTTAAAAAGACTTGAATAAAATGTCGATAAAAATAAAATTATATAACGTTGCAGAAAGTCGGAATACCACCGTTAGCCTTTCTGGTGTGTATTGGGATTCAAAAGGCTTATTTTCCTTTAACTGAGTTGCATATTTCCAATGAATAATTCCAAACAGAGCGAAAAGCCAATTACTATACTGGAAATATATGACTCATACTTTTCCTCCCATAAATAATGCTTTCTAACTACTTTCATTACACAGAACAACTGGCTTACAATGATAAACCCCTGGACCACATATAATCCAATTGAATTAAACGTTGTAAAGTTTATACCTTCACGGACTTAAGGTCTTCTTGACATGTGCTAAAAAGTGGCACCTAATTGACCCAACACCGTGGAGCCAATAGTAATTTAAATAAATTAAGGGTTTACTTTAAGTTTTGTTATTCGTTATGAAATACTCGCAGTGGGTTCTAGCTATTGAAAAATCAAGGGCTAAGTCAAGTTTACCTGGGGATCCAATTTTTTTCTCGGAGTCAGGCTTAAAATAGATGGGGTTAAAGTCTCGAGTGAGCGGACATAACGACGCCCATGATTACTCCTGAACAATAAACGAAAACATTATTTTATATAGCATTTTATCTGTTATTAAGAGCATATGGAATCCATAATACAAAATATGTCACAAAATCCATTAGTCTTCCAAAATATTCCTGGTTATACATATTATGTCAAGCAAAGCAGTGGCGGTAGTATTCTGTTTAATAACTGCACCAGTGAACAATCACTGTATTTGATATTCGTTCAAAATATCTTAAATTTGGTGAAATTAAAAGCAAACAGAGGGATTGATTATAAAATCGAAAGTTCATGTAAGGAGGGAAAATTACCTTCATATTAAAATACTGACAGATACAAGTAGCCTAAAAAGTGTGCGCGATAAAATTTTGTGATTAAGCCCTCAAATAGGTAAACCGATTGTCATTAGGAACTTGATAAATTGACGGTTCTTTCAATGCAAAAATAATTTTAGCCAAGAATATCTCGTCACGCTATACAAATGTTTTTTTCGTGTTTTTAAATTTTCGTTTCATTTTTAGAAACATGCGGATGCTCAGAACGTCGATCGAAATGGCTGCCAGGAACGCCACCTGGAGCGTGCCGTAATACCTGGCATATACTGTCCCCTTGTGGAGATCTCTGTATGCGCGCATATTAAAGAGCTATCCATGGTCCTGATGCAAGCAAGCAAAGACATCCGAACCTGGTCCGTGTGTCAGTTACCCAAACATATCCACGAAGCTGGGATATGCGTCTTGGCTGCTGCAAGTTATGGGACGATAACAACAGGAGAGGTGATGGAGGAGCAGCAGGCACTGGGCTTCAGGGGAGAAAAAGATGAGAAGATGCTGGTTTTTCTCTACCTGAACTGAAGATAAAAAAAACTCCCCACAAAAATATTTCCAGAATCTCTGGTTCTACAGCAAAACATCAGTTCTCAAATCTTTGCATACTTTTTGTTGCTGTTTAAGTAGCGTAATGTCACGCTAAAAGGGGACAACAATGTTTTCACTTGTCACTTGTTTATGTGTTGAATGTGCAGTTAGTTAGTTATTTGGTTGGTTAGTTAGTTAGTTAATTGGGGTCAGCAGGCTGTAATCCTGGACCAGAGGTGAGCATCATGGCCGCTGCCCACCCCGTCTGTCCTTTCATTGCCCATTGTCCACACTCCTGCAGGGTTGGGAGTTCCACTTCCTTCCATACACGTGGAGTTTGCATGTTCTCTCCATATTGTGCAGAGTTCTCTTGGGTACGCTGGTGCACTACCAGTGAAAAGTTTTGCACTGAGATATTCTACATTTGCATGTTACTCCCTTAGCATTTTGGCCTGCTAAAAATGCACTCTGCATTCTTTGCTAACAAATAAACTTGCAGTATGTTCACTATTTTAGTTCCTTTATTGGCACAAAAATGTGCTAATAAATCTTTGACTCAAAGTAACCTCTAGCAGTTAATTAGTCGAATTCGAGGCATTCATAGTATGAAACAGTTAATTAGTGCATTTAAAGAACAGCCTAAAATTTTACTGTGTCATCACTAACGGAAGCGGCACATGTAACGGTATACGTATTCCTATAGACAATTATCGGTACCGGTGTTTCAGTACCAAACGAATGTGGCAAATGCAGGAACCTTTGTGTGTTTCCCCGGAGAAACATTCAGAAAGTGGCAGAAATAGCTGCACCAGTACGCATGCGCACATAGACCAGTACTTGAAGAATTTCCTCCATCACTAGTACAGTTCAGGTATTTTTTAAATCCTGCACCATTATGTTTTGTATTTTGTATTATGAGACAATATTTGTGTTGCATAGTTCTAATATGAAGCTGGAAGCTGTTAACGTGAATACAGAACAGATTAGAATGTTAATTTACCCCCGCTGCACCGAAAACGTACCAGACCATGACTTCAAAATCGAGGTACGTACCGAACTGTGATTTTTGCATACCGTTACACTACTAGTGATCACCATACGACCACTTAATAGGATGTCAGACATGCAGTGTTACATACTCTTATAAGCTATAACTCAGGTTATAAAAGAAACTTTTTAACTTGTATTCTCATTTATTGTTCACTCAACTTTCCAGTGCAATCTGCAGTTTATGAAATAAATGGAAAAGTGTTCAAGCGTGGTGTGCAAAAACTTCTGACTAGTAGAGTAGGTAGGCAAACTGGTGTTACTAAATTGCTCATAGCGTACGTTCACGCGTGACAGACCTGTTATGGCATGGTATTCCACCCAGGGTACATCATACCTAGTGGCCTTCCTGAAATAGTCAAAATTAGCCTACTTTTAAAGGACATTATGCAGCATAATCAGGTTGATGTTCTGCTTGACTTGCGGCATTAACCTACACTATTGTGCTGATATAAAATCCTGGATTCTGCAGGCACCATTTTCTCCACATGCTATCTGACCATATTCAGGTTATGCTGGCCAGCTGAGTCACTAACGTACACAGTTTGCTAAATTAAGTAAATCCTTGAGGGACAATGTAACAGGGGGTATGAGGGATAAATGTTCTGAACAACTGATTTAGAGGCTCTGCAACAGACAATTCCCGGTTTGACAAGCTGATTTCGATATATACACAATATACAGCAATCACACAGAACCCACAAAGTCTGAGCAAAACCATTCGGTTATTTTCGTTGAAATCATCTGCTTAATTTAAATGCCTTAAAATTTTACATATTACATGGGGCTGAAGAGGAGATGACCTCTGATCAGTGGTGTGAAACAGACTTGAAGAGATTAATTTTAAAAGGAAAACATTTATTTTTTTTAATGCAATGTTAGATTTTAAAGAAAACATTCTTCTTACAAAAGTTCAACTTTAAAACAAGGGCCAGCGGTATTTATCATTAAAGGCTTATGCAAATCTATCTAAATTAACATAAACAAATGGTAACAGAAATATGCTGTCAATTTCTTGAGCATTTTAAAAACTTACAGTGGTATTATGCTACTTGCAAAGGTAACAAAATACGACATTCAGCTGTATAATAAGAGTCTAAAGAAAGATTCAGATAACGGGATGAAAAAAATACAGAAATCTTCACTTTTACTTAAATCTGAACATTGCATTCCTACACACATAAACAAGCCCTTTACTGTCAATATCTGACATGGCAATAATGGCCACTTCAACAACAAACCTGCTCACTACGTTCCAAAATTCTCTATTGAGGTCATGCTGATGCAGCTGTAACCAACGGATAAGTAGATGGAAGAAATCAGCGCCTCCTTCTGTCAGGGCTACGACTCCGTCTCCGGCCACCCCTGCACAAAGCAGAAACGTTGACTATAGACCAATTCTTAGAAACGAATCGATCAAAGCTCCAATAAATAATTTATACAGTCCTAATACAGTAATTATACAATTTATAGATTTATAGAATAAAAAAGGTATGAAAATACGCAAGTCACTTATTCAGGAAAATAAAGTTTAGGAATAGTATTATTAAGGAACATACTACAATGCAGACTGCCCTTTAACAATACTCAACCCATAAATGTGTCAGAAAACAAACGTAAAATTACCCAAGATTCAAAACTTTCAAGCAAATACTTTTGCAATACCGAATCTGGAAATTAATGACCAACATTTCGGCAGTCTGATTTTGACGAATTTGAAGAAATGATCAATGAAAGGCGCAAAACCAAAAACAACAATGACGATCAGCCTACGCAATGGGCCCAAAGCCCCGCCCTGTGTACCTTCTCCTGTTCTTGGGTGGTCCTCTCACAAAGCACCAATCCACACTGATTGGCTGGCCCATCAAGTCCTGTCCATTCAGCCCCTCCATAGCTGCTTGGGCCTCTTTGTACGTTTCATATTCAACCAGCGCATATCCCTGCATGAGAACACTGAGTCACTGCAGTAACGGCACGGAATTCAAGCCGGCTCAGCAGAATTCTCCAACGACCTCAATGCATATGACCAGAGCTTATATTAAATCAATGTGTCATCATAGAAAGCCCATTTTTAGACGTGGAATAAAGATAAACTTGATGGTCGCATAACGTTTTACTTTCAAAGTAACCAAGTAAGTAATGTCACACTGCTGAAATCTCATGCCTCACTTTCAGGTAACCGGTTCGACGATCCAAATTCAGATGCAGGTTCTTGATCTCCCCAAACTCAGCAAACTTATCATGGATGTCTTCCTCTGTGGCTTCCTCCTGCACGCCGGTGACAAAGAGGATCCAGCCCTCCACAGCTAAACAGCAACGGGGATGAATCACACATTAAAACAAAAGATAAAAAAGGAATATCCAATTTAGCCTAACCTTGGACTGCAGGAGGAACTTGGGATATTTGAAGGAAACCCAACCGACACGAAGAAATCATGCAGACTCCACCCACAGAGTGGAGGTGCTGCTTTCGGGAAACATCCCTGATCAGTCTGCCATGAAGAACTTACAGCGTTGTGGGCCTGGTTCATCACCCTCCTGTTCCACAGAGTCATAATCTTCTCTCACTCGAGACCTTGCTCCCTCATCTGTATAACATAAGCCAGTATTAAATGTCCCCTCACAGTTAAAAATAACTGACATATATATATTTACAGAAACTTACATCTGCCAGCACATGCAAATGAGTGAAGGAGAGGGGAAAAAAATCATACCTAATCCAAAACCGCGTCCCTTCCTCTTCTTCGCTTTTTCCTTTAACTTGTGAATGCTCTCTAAAAAGAAAACATGGAAAATAGAAAAGAAGAAATGGAAACATTTAAAACAAAATGATAAATAGGAATCGGGTGCCTGTAACAGACATAGCTGAGAGAAAAAAATCCAGGATTCTTAAATGACCTTATAGGAATCAGATTCACGTAATTTATCTGTTCAATAATCAATCCGAAAGCAAGACAGCTGCTTCCGGAAACATAAAACACTTATCCGATTAAATCAGTCTGGAATAAACGAACACCAGGTTACACATAAATAAATATTTGTTTATGGTCATCAGCCTTTCCGGAATCATAGTTTTACACTTGCTAAAACAAACTCCTTGCAAATAATCCAATCTTTAACAAAACCTGGACATGTTACATTCACAAAGATTAATAAAACTTCTGCCCAAGAATCAGATTCTTGCAGTTATAACTATGACAAAACAAGAGCACAAAAGAAGACACACACACTTCTGTTTAATAAGGAAAAAAAAGTAAATATCACTGGTTTTACCATCGCCATCCTCGTCCATTGGAAAATCCTCGCCTCCCGCTTCATGGAGATCAAGCACGTCCGACATTATGCTTGTGTTGTTTCTTTCTGGGTCAGGGACAAGTCTGCGGTCGTTGTACGCAGAAGGAACCGCGTGTTATTAGTAGCTGGATACAGCGTTTACAACTAGTCTACAAAACTGGACTGGATCTATATACTCCAGCTGCTTTTCATATCATCCAGGGATACGTTTACTCATCAACTGAAACAAATGCTACGATTTTAAATCGGTACAGAACTTCACACAAATCCAGCGTCTTCCCAGCGTGCCATATGAACTCGGAATTCACTTAGTAACCCGGAAGTGATAGTGGCCGAAATCAGGAAAACTAGAACGGAACTTACGGAAGCGCTGCAAGAGGAGTTCAACATGGCGGCCACGACACCCAAAGAATTAACAGCAGTATGTAGCTGTTGACAAGACGGTTGTTTATCTAGTGTTGTCGTAGTTAGTGAATATGTATTACGTTAAATAGATTTAAATAGTTTAGCATAGTCTACCTGTAAAAGCATGAACATACAGTACAAAAGATGCAAAACACAGGAAACGCAAGCTGAAAAGCATATTAAATACCATAATTTCAGCTCTTCTGCTTGAAACTATAGGTTGTTGGTTTAAAACTGGTAATATGTTATAGGACCATTGCTATTTCTGGCTAGCTCCAGTGCTGCCATGATGCTCTCTGGCAAGGGAATGAACTGCCTCTATATGCCATCAGTCCTCCTACAGGAACTCTAGCTCAGGCTCTTGATGATGTCACTGCTGGTCCCCCAGATGCCACTGGAGTGCAGTGCAGCAACAGTTCTGCTGCCAAGCTAGCACTGCCTCCTCCATATCAGATGTAATCCATAATGTATATGATAATTTATATGCATACATGTATTTGTGTCTGGAGTCTCGTAAAGCATGTGGCTTTAGCAGCTTGGTGTGAGCTGTCATTTAGCACAACATAAAATTTCAACATTTTTAATATATGTGGTTCCTTGTGCTTTGTCACTCAGATAATATCAAAGAGTAATTGATAATCACAGATTAACAGAATCCATCTGATAAAATACGGAGATATGATATATAATTTCAGGGGGAAATTACTCTACAGTTGGACGGTAACCTTCATAAATTCTCTGGACTCGGTACAAAAAAATGAGATAAAATGGTTGACATTCATTCATTTTCACTTTCTAAAATCAGTACTTAAACTGTATCAGCAAAATCTAAGTAAAAGAAATTTATTTGAAACATACAGCCATTCTCACCTTTTTCCTAAAACCTAGTACACTCAGTCTGTTCCATAATGCAACAGGTTAAATGTACATAGTTTCACCATTTTCACTGCCATCTGTAATGATTCTGCAAAGATTAACATAACACTGGAGCAAAAAAAACACAATGATTACAGCAGAACTCCCATGTATACACATGCAAATAAGTTCTTCACTCATCTTCTAACTGTCCATCCTGGTTAGGGTCACCAGTACCAGGCAGCATAAGGCTGGGTGCACCTTGGTCAGAATGCCATTCAATCCCAGGGCAAATACATGCACACACAACTGCTAATTTAGAGACAGCAATCAGCCTATGTGAATGTCTTTGGACTGTAATAGGAAACTGAAGGACACACACACTCTTGGGCTCCCCCTAGTGTCTGGGCCCCTGAAAGTCTTCTCTTTTCTGCCCTCTTATAGCAGGTCTGGGTGTGAGGCAGCAGTACCCAAGTACTATTTACGTTGGAAGCATTTCTGAAGTATGAGTCACAGGGAAATTTTTTAAGGCATTTGTTGCTGATGGCAGAGTTTTGCTGTTGCCCTGCAGTGGTGATGCTAATGACCTGAATGCAAATGCAGCCCTAATGATGCTGCAGGAGGTGCTGCAGGAGGTGCTAATATGTGCAGCTGGAGTGTAAGACTTCTGTAGGCCAAGGGTGGAGAAGAAAGAGAGCATCTCGTCCTTGGAAGCGGCTTCGGGTTTATTCACTTCCAGTTTAGCTTTTTGTCTTGCTTCTGCAGAAGGAGTGTTGTTAGATTAATTTGCAGTATGGTGGTGTGATCTTCAAAATTTATAAATCATATTATAACTGTAGATTTAATATTTTGTACTTGAAAAATAACATGCAAATCATGGGGACAAAAAACCACAACTTTCAGTAATGGGGAAAGTAAGCGAATTGGAAGTATGGGGTTGAAGCACTTCATGTAAATACTTCATAGTGTCCCTTCTTTAACTCTGAGTGCAGCTTGAGAATAAAACTGGGTTTTTATTCAGATTATGTAACATCCATCCCTTGACCTTCCAGCTGCTTATGCTGCCCATGGTCTGAGGCCTGGAGCCTGTTTCAGGCAGCATAGGGCACAAGGCGGGGAGACACTCTGGTCGGGATGCCTGTCAGTTGCGGTTTAGACACACACACACACACACACACACACACACACACACACACACACTACAGGCATTTTAGGCACCAATTAGTCTGACTGCATGTCTTTATTCTGTACTCCATAACACTGTCCATCAATTAAAATGTACTAAAGTTAGACACATGGGTGGCATTGGGCTCAGTGAGTACTGCTGCTTCTTGACACCTATAAAGTTGCTGTTTTGAATCTCACATATGCTCTGTGTGCATATTCTCCTTGTCTTGTGTGGGTTTCCTTCTGCAGTCCATAGACATACAGCTATTATCTGGCACCTCTAAATTGCCCAAAATGTATGACTGAATATGTGCCTTGTGGCGGACTGGCATCCCATCTTACCTTAAGCTCTCTGTTGCCTGGGTTCCATCCATGACCCTGACGAGGGTAAGTCATTATAAGATGAATTATGTGAAATACTGTATGGATATTTATGAAACTGACTTCTATCTCTTTGTTCCAAACCTGAAAGTGGCCATTAGAGGTCACATTTTGCTAGTGACCAAGTGGAACTCGGAATGTTTAAAAGCTTGCCCGTGTACCTTATTCAATTCTGTGTCACTCATTAACTGAGCAATTGACCGGCACAATGACACGTCCTGACAGCTCATCTTTGACGTCACTGTTGTATGTCATGTCGTAAAAAAAAAACCTTTTGTATTAATTGTCAAGGGATGCAGTAGGGGACTCTGAAAATTCATGACCAATATGTGCAGGCTCAAATTCTTGCAAAATAGTGCCCATCCATCCATTTTCAGAAACCGCTTGTCCTATCCAGGGTTGCGGAGTGTCCAGAGCCCATCCTGGAGGCTACAGACGCAAAGCAGGGAACAACCCAGGATGAAGTGCCAAACCATCGCAGTGCAAAAAAGTGCCCAAACAAAATTCCAAAACCAGCCAGTGTCTAAAAATAATATCCAGCTGTGAGCAAGCTATGAAAACTCTAACATTATACCAGTTAAACAACACTGTTAAAACATACCAAGTATGCTAGGAATAAACACAGCGAGTGTTAAGGGAAGGAAGCAGGAACTGTTAAAAAATCCTCTGCTGGATGCATTTCTCTAACAGAGAACATTCAAGGTAATAATTCTGATTTTTCTAATCTATTGAATCAACTAATTGCTGTTATACCTTGGTTTCATAGGCAACACACATATAAGTTTATTTGAATTATGTTAAATGCTATAGTAGAGGACTGTTAAAGCAAAAGAATTATCACTATATTCTGGTTTAGAAGCAGAAATAAATCTGTCCTGTTGCACAAATAATCAAATACCAGATTCAGGTCTTTCCTGATCAGTTCTTTCGAAATTCATGCTGAATGGTTGTAATATATTTATATTATCAGCAGAATAGATAATGTGCAGAAAGTATTCATATCACATGTATTTTAAGGTGGTTTATCTCTGGGTGGATTTTATTTTTATAGGTTTGTAGGTCAGATTAAATAAATACTGACACACTGTGTAAAGCAATTACTGAGAAACCCACAGACCAAAATTTCTGTGTACAAAACAGCAGTTACAAATCATTGTTAGAACCTGCCTTTCATTCATGTTATTGATCAAATCACTGTTATCAGTTCCTTATGTACTCATTGAATGGAAGATTTTAAATGAATGTGGTCAGATTTTTGATAAATGACCTCTGTAAGGTAGCATATCACTGATTGGCCAACATTTCTGGAGTCAGCATTCTTGTAAAATCTTTTGGACTTTGAAGAAGATCATGGCAGGTCATGCAGCAAGGGTCAGCCAGTAGAATGTATGCTCACATCAGCATAATCTGATTTGGGAGAGTAACACCCAATGGTAAACATGCTCAGCAACAGAGACTAATAATCTTCACCTTAGGTGTGGTCTCAGTTCTCCGTGGAGCCATATAAAACCCACGGGATGTAAGGAGAACTTCCATCGGGTTTGAACACCGCAGAAGGTACATCTACAGCTACTTTGTTAATTAATTTTAAATTGTGAGGATAAAGTGTGTTTTCTTATATGTGGTCTAAAAACTTTAAATATTTACATGGTTTGATTAGTAAGACATTGTTTTCAAGGTTCTGGTTTGTATTTGACTTTTTCTGTACCTTCGTCTTCAAATACTCATAACCCTAAGCTAAAATCGCATTAAAATTCTATTAATATCTGCCAGCTGTTCATACAGGTGTCTATCCAGCCAGAAACGATGAAGTTCCCTATCACTGCCATTATGCTGTTGGCACTGATTCATGGTAAGAAGTTATTGTCCATCCAATAAGATGCACTTGTGTTTTTGCACCATGTTTTGCTTATTAACATATTATAGCTTGTTAATTAAATATATTGTTTCTTATTGACATTTCTGGTATTTCATGTGATAGGAGTTAATATTGCATTACAGTGGAGACATGTGTGAGCACAGCAAAGTCTGCTATCCCACAGTAGTTACACAGAGTGGTTTCCAATGTCTTTCAGGCAGTGAGTCCTTCACGGTGGCAAAGAGAGATGTCTCCGCTGATGTTGATAAGCTGACTAAGTATGTCCAGGATCTTTCTACCATAGTAACTAGTGTTACACGTGAACTGGTGGAGAAAGTGAAGAACCATGAGCTCACTGGCAAGGCCCAGTAAGTATCTCCCTGCTGACGTGTACAGCTCACTCGCCCTGTGTATCATAGCACTTATTCTTCTGGCTGGGAGTTTGTTCCACAGAAGCAATGGGGAGGTTGGTAACTCTGAGTCTGCTTACCTTCAGAACCTACCTTGAGCAAGGAAAAGTCCACCTGCAGCCTCTAGCAGATAAGCTCCAGGAGAACCTGAAGCCCCTGACCTCCAGCATCGAGAAGACACTTAAGCCTTTGACCGACTCTGTGCAGGCACAAGTCGAACCCCTGATTGAGTCTGTCATGGAGGAAATGTGGAAGAAGGTGATGAATCGTGTCAAAGCGCTGCTTCCTGACCAGTAAAACAGTTTTCACTGTCGCCACGCTGAAGCAAAGAGAGAAGAATCACCCCAGTTTTAAAATGTACGTTTTAATCCTTCACACTGCTTTGTACCTTTATCTGCTGTAATATTTTTTCACCATTAAAGAACTATAAAAGAAATCGCATCATCCTTACTTTGCCACAGGCTATTTGGAGATATAGGTTTCTGATTATATTTTTCTTGAGTAAGGCTTATCACAATCATCCTTGGGTAACTCTAAGAGCTCACAGCTGTAGGAAGTGTTAAGGTCACTGTATATATAAAATATACTTAAAAAGCACTATATTTTGTAATCCCTAAAGTCCACTCTCAGAATGCTTATATAAGTAAAATATAAATCTTAAAATATGTCAGTATGAAAGTAATGACATTCAGACTAAGTACTATGAGCGAGCCCTTGATCTACATTTTTTACATGGACGATAGGCAGGAGCCGACAAAGAAGTACAGTACTTCAGGTTCGATCGTTAAATGTCGGATAACGAAGTGCTTTGGGAACAAGACTCATTCGTTTTTCACCAATGTTGTTCGCTGTCTTATCGAAAAACGCACCCCTGACGAATAAATCAAAACGCTATCAAACCTAAATATTTAATACAAAATTATGAATTTTAAAAGTCATTGCATTGTAATATACGATGATAGTATTAAATGAATGGCTTTGCCCTTTATGTTTGACTTACACGTTTTATGTCTGTTACACGCCTTTAATTAGCTGAAAGACGGTGAATATATAAGTAGTGTTTCACATCTGCTTTCGTCCACTAGATGTCGGCATTGTCCAACTGAAGAGACTGGACCCCTCCTTTTAGTCGAGGGGTAAGATTGGTCCTTAACGAAAGAGTTTCCTTCGGTATCTTATTGACTTGTGACGCTATGAGGGAATGGGGGATAATCAGACTGATCGATTTGGTTCCATTCCTCACTATTAGTCAAGGGTAGTAACCAAAATAATATTGCAATTCCAAGTTTCTCTGCGTGTTTAATGGGCTTGCACTATGTGAAGAGAAATCCAGAGAGACTTCAAAATAGGTGGAAATTTCAGGTCCAGAAAGTAAAAATCCAGACCAGGATTTTGTTTCAACCAACCAATTGAGTATGAAGAGTCACAGAGTACTCAGCTGGTTGGTTGAAACAAAATCATGGTCTGGATTTGTACTTTCTGGACCAGATATTTCCACCTCTGCCTGCAGTTGAGGTGCTGCTGGCATCTCATAAGGACGTCACCTTGTCAAATCTCAGGGCAGCTGTTCTGGGCACATCCCACCATGAGATCACTGGGGAAGCACCAGGACAAGCTGGGAAGACTTGGGGATCCACCAGTTTGTAGTCCTGCACAGAGAGGTCTGGTGACCAGGAGAAGCAGTGTGAAGATGAATAGAGGGTTGAGCGAATGTTGACAAAAGGGAAATGATAAGCATTTAAAGGTTTTTTTCCCCTAATGATCAGAGAAAAGTGCCAATCCCAGGCAGCATAGGGCACGAAGCTGGTGAACACCCTGGACAGGATCCCAGTTCACCATAGGACACCTATGCACACACTCTATGACACTGGCGATTATCACATGGGGTCTCCTAGGGCAACGTTTAGGGCCCAGACCCTAAGGGCTCCCCCCCAAATATAAGTGCTCCACCTCACCTTGGGAAAAATGGAACAGTTAAACTTACATTTGACCCTCAGATCTGCCCATTGGCAACCACCCCCCCACCACCACCCCCTCCCCCCCAGTAAGTCTTACCGCAGGTGCTCTGCTAGTGGATTACTGACGTTATGTTGTTTAATATTTAGTCTCGCTTCTCTTCCCCCCCCCCCCCCCCAGAGAGGTCAATCCTTGCTCTATGGGCAATTCAGAGACTCCAGTTAGCCTAACTGCATGTCTTCGGACTGTGGGAGGAAACATGGGAGTAACTGGCACCTCCAGAGAGAAGGTACTCCAGTTAACATCAGCATTTGGACCGTGGGGGAGAGAACCTGGAGGAAACCCCATGACATCACTCGGAGAACATGCAAACTCCACACACGGAACCCCAGCAGAAACTCGAACCCAAGTCCCACTGCACTACCACACATGTTGTCTTAAAATGAATGTGAATATATGACCTTTGTTATCACTTAAATAAATGTATTACCTAGATAAAACATTATTTAACCGTACAAGTTTTTCTTTGCGTAAAACATAGAACTCTGAATGACCTGAATGATGGCAGTAAGATGAACAGAAATATCAGAAATCACCATAATAATAAAACCGTATGTTTATTTTATCATACACTCTTCTAAGGGAGCCGCAGGATTCACAGCTGACATGAACGCGTACTTGTCACACAGCTGTGAGGTAGACTGTGATTTGTTGTCAGTTGTGATGCTAAAAACAACAAAATCACTAGTCTTCCACACTGCGGTGGACCGACATCAATATGGCCACATGCGTGACATGATACAGACACACCAGCTCCTCATTTTATAATAATGTTCAATCTGGTTCCATTATATTGGGTCCTTTCTTAGTTCACTTTGATTTATAGATCACAGCACCAAGCGCTCCACCTGAAACCCTAACCCTAACCCTAACCCTCAATAGTAACTGTGTTTCATTTATGTATCATATAGTATCCTTTAACTGATACATTCTTTTATATCAACCACTAACCATTTCCATTTTATTTTTTGTTTCCTCGATGCTGCACATATTTCTTCTGATCCCACCACCACATCAAATGCAGCTGATTGTGGGCACTGCTAATTTGCTCCACACTGGCTTAGCTGATTGTGAGCACTGCTAATTTGCTCCACACTGGCTTAGCTGATTGTGGGCACTGCTAATTTGCTCCACACTGGCTTAGCTGATTGTGAGCACTGCTAATTTGCTCCACACTGGCTTAGCTGATTGTGGGCACTGCTAATTTGCTCCACACTGGCTTAGCTGATTGTGAGCACTGCTAATTTGCTCCACACTGGCTTAGCTGATTGTGGGCACTGCTAATTTGCTCCACACTGGCTTAGTGCACAGCATCCTGTAGACCTATTTATTTATTTGCTGGTGTTAGAAGCTGTGGCCCATAGTCTTACTTGTTTCTAATTATGTAGTTTAGTGATGATAATAAGTCTGTGAGCGACTTTCTTTTCCCTTTTGGGGAAAATGAAACATGTACTTTGGGATTTTTTTTTTCTGGGTTTAAGCAAGTTTTTGGCTTTAGGTTCAGGTTCAGGCTCAGGTTTACCAGTCTGTCAGGAAGAAACTGGTGGCGTAAATCCTTCATCTGACTGCCGTTAATTTCCTCTTCCTTAGTTCTGTTCTTCGTGTCTCACTCCTTTGGTTCCTATGTTTGCGAGGATCACCTAGGCGCTAACATTATATTCTCTGATATTCTCCTAATGCAGCCATTGAATGTGTGTTTGCATTTCTGTGTTTCATTTACTGATCTATGATACAGTCTGCAGAGTCTAATTTTGTGCCTTTTTAGTGCAATAGTATGGTATCTTATTCTTCTGTCATGGATGCTATGGAGCAGGTATATTTAAATACAGACTTCTTCATTCCCTCCATCAGTTTAGACAGAAAAACTAGATAATCACTCACTTTTATTGCTGTTAGTGCTTTGCATATAAGTTGCATAAGTGGTAACTAATCTTCAGATGTTGAGACCCGTATAAAACTCAGGACAAAAGGTTAAATGTAGGATAGCTGTCCAAAGTCAGGAGTTACCATCAAATCATGTCCCGATGATTACGTCGAGGGTAATCATGCCTCTTATAGCTGTTTAGACAGGCATGGTGCTGGGTACGGCAAGCTGAGAGGCTCATTTCCTGCAACTTTTATGCTGAATTCCGCTCACAAATTGTCGCAACATTTGTGAATTCTTTTTTTTGTGACTTTAAGTTTAAGATTAAATCAGAAAGACATCTCTATAACACGTCTCAAAAACCAATTCCTCCCAGGTGCTGATATAACCAGCGTTTACTTCAGATGGGGTAAGTATTATTATTATTATTATTGTTATTATTATTATTATTATTATTATTATTATTTTATTATATTATACCATTATAATGTTTGTGGCTTTCTGGTGACTTGAAATTTTGTTACCTTACCTTGCTGATTAAAGTGTTTTCCTCAAACATATTACATATTTTAATAGATTTTCTTAAGATTTTTTCCAAAATTAATTATCTGCAACTCAAATAAACATTATTAGCAAATATTGAATCTACAGGTTATTTTCTCACATCATGCCCACCTTGTTTTTATTTGAGGAAATTATAGAAAATGTGCATTAATAGGTAAAACTATCACGTAATAAACATCTTACCGTGCATATATGTGTATATATATATATATATATATATATATATATATATATATATATATATATAGACTGAAAATGTATATATATGTCAGCTGCAATTGAATTGTATGAATTCCTAAAAAAGTATTGTTGCCATTGTTTTTGTACCTGAGACCCCCAGAATCCCACTAAGTTGCCCATTCAGTGCAGTAGCAGACAAGGAAGAGGCAAGTTATCTGGAAATGTGCCCTGACCCATTTTAACGGGATGGTTAGCGTCTTTCTCACTACATTTTCAGTAATTCACGAAATTCCACACCCACAATGCAATGTGCTCACAACTACACACAAACGCTATAGAATTTGTACTTAAAGTTGTCTACAATACATCATTTGCTCGGAATTGCCAGCTAACGAAGCTGGGGCATTCTCCGTGCAAGCCAGCGAGCGACAGCATCATTGTGAAAAGAACTGATCTGCAGCGCAAAGAGGCTTTACAAGAAAGGATTAGACAGTTTTCAATATTGAGGTTTACAGGACACGCAAGAAATACATGCACTATGTGCATTGTCTATGTTCAAAATAGCTTTGGAGGATAGCTGTGGAAGGGAAGTCGTACTTACCGAATACGACGGTGCCAGTTGGGGTTCTCCTGCAGATTTTCAAAAAAGGGAGGAACAATCTGGCAAACCACAGGCTCTCGAACACTCTAGAAAAAGAACAAGCCGCATAGAAGAAAGTAATGTACCCCCTCCCCACCCGCCCATGGAGGAGAAGAGGGGACAGTGAGGAAGAGCAAAGTTGGGGTGGCGTTAGACCTGCTGCTCGCTGTCCCTGCTGTGGGAGCCCTGGACAGGCGAGATCTGTAGTTGCTCTGGCCTTGGTGGCACCAGGGGGCTGAGTGTCTTTCTGGGCAGGGGGTGTTGACAGGTTGATGTGCTTGATGGCGTTTACTCAGGGGGGCTCCCTTTAACACACACACACACACACTCACACGCACACGCACACACACACACACACACACACACATGTAGAAAAACAGCGTGAGAGATGCACATCCATAATTGTGCACAGGTGCCATTCAAGGAAATTTTGAGGGGGGGGGCGTCAAAAACAACATGATGTCTCAATTTTTTTTTAATCCCTTCAACATAAAAGTCCCACCTTTTAGCTGAAGCAGCCCCCTCCCTCGCAGCTGCTAGCATCCCCTGGAGAAAGACACCAATGCATGCGTAGACACGTAGAGATTCTGTCTTGGTGACATCCTCCGTATTTCACGTGTTACTGCTATAGTATGATGCTTCAAAGAAATGCTGTAAAAATGCAGATTTTCATCATGTGTGCAAGTCAGTGACTACTCTGAAGTTATATTCACATTAAACATAAGGTATGAGCAAAAGAATCATTAAAAAATAGCTGTTTTCTGCTACAAGATATTGTGGAACCATACCTTAATTGCCATCTCCCTCCATTTTGCAAAAAAAAGAAATATTGGACAAATATTTGAAAAGATAAAGGGATGCCAATGAGAAACAATGCAGGTGCTTCACCCTGGCAACAGCGGAGCGCTGGCCTTGGTGATGGTTGCTAGGCAATGGAAGAAATATAGTGGCCTCCTTAGAAACCGAAGGCCTATAAGGGGGTCGAAAGGAACAAAACAAGAACCAGGCACTTAAGAAAAATCTAAAGTGCATGTGGTTATTTTGTCATTTAGGTGCTTACAGTTATAATGCGGTTCTGTCTAAGACAAAGGAGAAACCATTGAAATGGTTTACACAGCACACAGAAGGACTATATGTAACAATATGTAAGCTTGCAGCTTATGGTATTTGATATATTTGATATACGGTTTTATTTTCACACTCATGCACACAAATCCCTCTCTTCTCACTTTTGCTTGTAATTTCTTTTCTACGGAAAGGTCGCTGCCCACACAAGGGTTAACGGTTAACAATTAGGGCCGTGAGCCCTGCCGCCATTTCTTTCGCAATTAGTTTCACATCTTCAGATTAGTTCCAGTTTATTAAATGTAATTGCGATGATGTTCATTAGATGAACCACAATGGCTGGAGTAACAGCCCTGGGGAGTTTCTGCAACAGCAAACGCCGGACTAACATCGCACTGAATTTTGTTACATTTCAAATTCCATCGATCTTCCGACTACTTATCCTTCAGTTATGGGCTGGCTGGCGGGGGGTGGGGGGGCAGCATTGGGCCTCCTGGGTAGCGAAGGGCACAAGGCTGGGGTACACTCCGGAGGGGATGCCAGGATGCACATCCACACGCTATAGATTGGGGGCTTAAATCCTGCCTCTGCTCTGTGTGGAGCACACAGGTCCTTCCCACGTCACACCGATTTCCTCAGGATGCTCTGGTTCCCTCCTATACTCCCTCCTATACTCCCTCCTATACTCCAACAATGCAGTTAGATGAAGCAGCACTTCTGAGTTGCTCATATTATTGAAACGTGTGTCCACTGTCATTGACTGACATTCTGACCACAGCGGTGTTCCTCAACCCAGTCCTCAGGGACCCCCAGTCAGTCCCTCCCAGCTCCCAGCTCACCAAAAATGTGGATTGTCTGGAGGGGGGGGGTTCCTGAGGACCGGGTTGGAGAACCCTGGTACGGCGTGTTCCCCAGCCGTGTTCTCAGGGATAGGCTTCAGGGTCCCACGTAGCGGCAAAAAGGATAAGAGTTTGGAAGATGGGTGGAATTCACTAACTGCATGACTTTGGACTGTGAGTAGTAATCAGGAAAGGAAAAAAGCGCGCCGTGGTCCTCTCCTATGACGATGCTGACGCATGGCCACCTGCTAAACATGCGATTGTCTTAACCAATCAAACGTCCCGGATTTGTTTTGTTTTGATTTTTATTTTGTCCGTTACAACGTAGAAAATACAAAAAGATTATAAATGAAGCAAAACATATAGCAACAAAGACAAGTGTTCGGATGTGATCGTCACTGAGGGGGACAACAGTTACTACACAACAACAAACATTAACATTAATAATAAATAACTATTGCGAAATTTTATTGTATATGTCAGTAAACTGCCCAAGGTCATTTCTCTCTCTCCTTCAAGTTTCTACTGTAACCTCATCTGGGCACAGGTGACTGCCCAGTGACCGTTCCCAGTATGCTCAGTGGGTTGGGACACTACTCCTGTGATCGGAAGGTTGCCGGTTTAAATCTCATGGTTGACGGCGTAGGAAAGCGAGGCCCTTAACCTCCCATTGCTCCCTGGGCCGTCTGACCCTGCTTTCTCCAAAATGTATGTCGATAAAAGCATCTGTTAAATAAATAAAAATGTAAGCTGCCTTGGTGATGGAGAGCTGTCTGGGGGAGGGGCAGCAGGACTCCGTGCTCCTTCCCTGCAGTCTGAGAGTTTCTGACGCTCCTAACAGCATCTGTTAAATAGAGCGCCCTCCTCCTGCCTGTGGCTCAGATACGCCAGTCAAGCAGCCTGCACAGTCACAGCGTTCCGAGCCCAGCTGATGCATTTAGGGATGAGTCTGAGACGATAACGGGGACCCCCTGCGGGGGTGAGCATCCTAGCAGGAATATATCACACTTCTCCCTACTCATCTTTTTCTCCCTGCTTGGGAATTATTGCTTCCTCTCCTCCATTGTCATCTGGCTTTCTTTCTTCTTCTTTCTTGCATTTCTTTGTCTTTCTTTGTCCCTTTCTTTGTATCACTCTCTCTTAATGATGCTGTAATGCATCACAACACATCTGTGTAAAGCGCCTTGGGGCCACTCCGTTGTGAAAGGCGCTATATAAAAATGAGCTGAATTGAATGAAACTTCTCTTCCATTAATGATACATCCAACAGCTCAGATACTCAGCAGCAGAATTATATAACTGTAAGAGCAACAACCTGCTGTTCTTCAGCAAGGAGTCCATACTGTTCCACATTTGCAGGTCTTAATGCAATTATAATCTCAGAAATAGGAGCTGGGATATTAGAGCTAATTTGTTGAATTTGGAGAAATGTTTGTCATTCGCTGCTTTCTATAGATGTTAAATTGCTAGAACAGAACGTAGACTGAAAGGAGAATAGTAATATTCTTGTTGGAAGGCCTTAATAAAACCCCAAAAAAGAATTAAAAATGTACTGCGTTAGTGTGTTATACTTTTATAAAACAATAAGAATCTAAAATGCTGGCTGGAGTTAATAACAAACCGCATCCCCAGGGGGCGATTGGGGGGGGGGTGCAGGTTATTTCAGTACTCCTTATAAATGCTCCGAAAGAAGTCTTTCGCTTACAAGGTTACGGGGTTTTCAGCTACTGGTTTGTAATGGCTTAAGTGTGGATGAGGAATTAAACAGAACTCAGGGCTGCGAATGCGTCAGTTTATTTACATGTCAGACCCTACACCTTTATTGGCGTGACAGAGCTGACTCATCCGCTTGCTGCGAAGCTTCCTTTCTGCTCGGTGAATATTAAGCTTTACTAGTAATTCACCGAACAGCGGCACGTACACTTCAGAAATGCCTGGGTATTTGAATGAAAGAGAATGGGCCCAGTCACGAGGTTTACCTTCAGCTCCGTCGTATACTGGCCTGCTACATGCTCATCTCCTTCGCTATCGGAGCTCGGCTAGTATGCATCAGGTCAACCGAGTCCGGGATAAAGAAAGACAGAATTCCACCCATTTCAGCTTCCGTTTGTGAATTTTTTTTTTAACAGTTTACAGATTATGAAGACCAGTTTTTGAAAGGCAATATCATCACTTGAAATATTTTTGAAGGAATCTGCATTAATCTTGGCAAAAACTACTGTAATTATTGCAAAAGCTGAACCACTATTTAGATATTTCAAATAATCTCTGGTGATGACCTTTTTGTGGCAATTCTGAAGGAAACACTCCAAAATATGTATCATCATTATTATTAGTGTGTGTGTCTTTATGTGTGTGTGTGTGCATATATATATATTTTTTATTATTATAATTTTTTTTCTTTTGTCTTGCCTGGTTGTGCCCTGATGTACTCCACTCTATTAGAGCCCTTAATGTAAATTCCATTTCACTGGCTATTATCTCTCTCTATTTTCCAGACCTGCCTTTTGGCAATACAGTATATACTGTGGCCCAGCCCCCCAATCTCCTGCCCTGGGGAGGCCAGCAAACTGCTTATTCAACAATCGCTTGCCATAAAGATATGTAATGACATTTCAGAGGCAAAGAGGCCTGTGTGGTTTTTAATTCATGTTTAATGGCTGTCAGGGTAAATAGCCCACCACCCTAAATGGGCGCTGCAGCTCTCTCCTCTCCCTTTCACTTAGGACGGGCTACTTTCCAGGCCCTGCCTCCTGGTTTTTCGGCCTCTCCGGTTCATCACTTTAACGGGATTGTGTGAGGACAGCGGCGGGTTTGGTTGTCGACGGTGTTGTGCAATCGTCGTGGCATCACCTGGAGAAGTGGCTGAAGAAGTGGTAACGGGGTTAGCCGCCACACTGTTCCCTGCCGTGGACTGGCGTCCTTCAGGGTGTTCCCTGCCGTGGACTGGCGTCCTTCAGGGTGTTCCCTGCCGTCCTTCAGGGTGTTCCCTGCCGTGTGCCTGGTTGGTCCCCATAACCCTGTACTAGATAAGTGGATGGAAGATGCATGTATGCATGAAAGGAATTTAAAACAATGAAGCAGAGAAAGGAGAAGAAAGGAACATGCATGGAGGTTCAACGCAGTCACCGATCTAGGTTTTCACCTTGGAGAGTATTAAGGCACAGTTTGCTCTGTCCCAGCGATAAACGAATAATCAACATCATGTATAACAACTGAAATAATAATAATAATAATAAAAAAACACTCTTAAGAAGAACATATGCTCAAATGTTTTAAAGCAGAGAAGAGACCATCACTAGCTACAGATGCATTACCCTAAGTATGATCTGATAATT